TTTTTTTTATTCTTAGGAATTATTCTCACTATCAGGTCTTTGGCACTAATGGCATCTTTGGTATAATTATGTTTGCAAGTTATATGAACTCAGAGAAAGCTCTGGAAGATGTTTCAACACAAAATTTTTAAAATTTATGATACTTGAAGTGAGGTTCTATGCAGTGACACTCCATTTAATTTCTGTAAGGTGGTACATAATTTAAGAAATTTTGCCTGACAACCTGTAGTGATTAAATAGCTATACTGAATTTTGTCACTGCAAGCCATTAGCTCAGCTGGTTAGAGTGTGGCACTGATAATGCCAGAGTTGTGGGTTCCATCCCCATGTGGGCCATTCATATAAGAGTTGAACTTGATAATCCTTGTGGGTCCCTTCCAGCTCAAAATGTGCTGTGATTCTGAATATATATCCTGACTGACTCTTCAGGCAAGAAAACCAAGATGCAAGAAAAATAGAATTATGACCCTAAAAATCCAGCCTGGGATGACTTGGGATCTAAAAATCTGTTCAACTGCAGACTGCTGAAGCACTAGTTGCTTTATAAACCTAAGATGGTGAGAAGATGGCCATAAAAGAATGAAAACTTCATCATAGTTCTTACCCTCATTGCTAGGCGTTTCAGTAAAATCTAAATCTGTTTATAATTTTCCAAGGTGTCCATTGCTTTATAATGGATAATGGAATGCTCTTCTGCTGGGAACTATGTGCCAGTTCATTCTTGAGGACTCCAGTACAAAATGCAGCTCTTGGATACCTTTATCAGACTTTCTGGGATCACCTCCGTGTTGGGGTAATTCTGGCCACTGGGGGTTTGTGTAGGGGGTTGAGCTACCTTACCCCATATGGCCATGTCCTAAAGGTCCTTTTAAGATGGAGGATATTCATTACTTGAAAGGAAATGGAAGCAAATGCTTCCATGAGCAAAGTCAGGACAGAGCTATTAATTTGCCAGAGGGATGAAACAACATACAGACCTGATCTTCTAAGATTGATGGGCACAGGAACTCCATGGACTAGAATGAGGGAGCCTCGCTTTTGAGGGGACAAGCCCTGAGGAGGATTCTCATGCAAAACATACTTGCTGAAGGATTTTAACCTTGTGCTGTATTGCATTTTCACTTAGGAAGTACTGACTACTGTTCGCAATTCTAGTTAAATGTTAGGGAATTCACCAGTGTAAACCATTTCCAAAATCTCTGAAGAAGCAGATGGAAGGCCAAGAAGATGAGAAATACGTGAGTTAGTCAATTAAGTGGAGGTCATAAATGAACCCCTTTTCAAACTCTTGTCTGAAAAGAGAAATTTGCAAGGAGGGAAGCAGGTGTCAAATTCCCTTTTGGCAGCTGGATCTCAAAAGCAATTAGAATGAAAAGCTACCTGATCTAAAGCTCAAGACATCAGGAGGATCAGCCTTAACAAGTGGAAGGAAACACATATTGATGGGGTTTACGGCTCTCATGCTGTAGGGAGGATGCAGAATGGTGAGGAAATGTGCTGACATGCCTAAATTGCAGCAGGATATAGGACCCTGGCACTGGCAGTGAGGAGGAACTTGAGGATGATTTCTGAGATCTATATGCAAACAGCTGTCTGTCTTCCACAGCATGCTGTAGAAAAATAGAGGTTTTGAACCATTAGAAAAGCAAAGGAAGTGCAATAGCCCAGATTTTGATCATAATTACACCCAGGTGGTTCTGAAGTGACTACACCCGTGTCATTGAAGTTACACCAGTGCAAAACTTGTGTGAGAACTGAATCAAGCTCTTTGTTTTCCTGCATTTGTGTACCAGAAGAGTACTCTAACAGCTCTTAGTAAATAATAAATTAATAATGATATGATGATCTCCCTTATGACTGGAAGAAATACAGAAAAATAAGTGTCAGAGTAAGAATTTGCTTGCAAGACTATTTGAATGTGTCATTTGTATTTGCTGGACTAAATTTAATTTCTGGACAAATTTAATTTTTTATTTCAAACATCAGAAACATCCAATGTAGTCAGGTAGTATGTGGGGAACAATAGAAAGACTACAACATATAGGTCATAGTTCAAATGAGGAAGACCTTTGGTCTTTACATGGCAAAGTACCTTTAAATTCCCAGCAGAAAGTAGTAATGGAAATAACTAATGAAGGCAAGTGCTTTTTCTGTCTCCCTGCTGTAAATCAAATAAGATTTTAGTAGTTGGGTTCGTTTGTGTTTCCCCATTTGTGTCTCAGAATACACCAGATTGCAATGTTACATCACATTTTTAATGACTAGAACCATGTCCTGAGATCCCCCTCTGACCACACCACCACTTCCTTCTTTCCTTTCTCCTCCTGGCTAGAGGACTGTATGTAATTATGATGAGGACATAATTCAATTAATTATTGACAGAACATGTAATTGCCACTCAGATCTCTCTCTGATAAATCTCTCTGCTCTCTCTGACTTCTGTTTGTCGTGCACTAGGGAGGTGGAAGGGCACTAAAAATGCGTTTTAAAGATAGGACGTTTCTCAACCCTTTGTATCAGTCGGAGAGGCTTCTGCCGCCCGGGGCTCTTTAGATGTACAACGTATTGTTCTCGTCTGTGCTAAACAAGTATCCCCGAGAAAGCTCAGTGGGATGGAGGCTTATGATTCATTTTAAGTGGAGGGTATAATAGAAGCAGATAACTTTGATTTGTGCAAAGGAAAAGTGTGATCTCTTTCAGGGATTCCAGGAATTCATAGCAAATTTTTATTCTGTTGCTGATTAAAGAGAAAGTGATAAATAAGATCTCTGTGTTCGCTTTAATGGAGGAATGTAGCTTTAGAAAGCTGACTTATTTAGGGAAAAAAAATTCCTGACCTCATATAGCCTTTGACCAAGATCTGCTACTAGTAGAGAGTAAAGATGAGGCTGTTTCTGTTATTATTAAAGCCCACAGTGACCATTTCTGTCTGTATGACCGGAAAATGTCCTGGGGGCCAGGCCGGGGTGGGGATGTGCCCGGATCTTGCCGTAATTTCGGATTACAACTAAAACTCGCCAAAAGCGGATAAAGGAAAGAGATAACGAGGTGAGAAAGAAAAGAATGGCTTTATTGTAAAATCAGGAAAACTAAGCTGTCAAAAAAAAAAAAAAAAAAAAAAAAAAAAAAGCAGCAATCGCGTACACGGTCTGCCCTTGTAGCCGAGAGAGGAGACCCGCTGCTCCTCTGCCTTTGTTTTTTACGGCACGACGTGCGTGGGGCTGGGAAAGGCGCAGCAGGGCAGGGCCAGGGCCGGTACCGCGCTGAGAGCCGCGGGCAGCGGGGCGGAGCGGGGGCTCGGCTGTCCCGCAGCGGGGCACGGCGAGCTTTGTGGTGCTCGGGAGTCTCGTACCAGGGAGGAGCGCTCATTCTCCCTCTTGGGGTGCCGGGAGGGAGGCGAGGCTGATGTGCCCATGCAGGCGGGCGGCACTGACGGGGGCTGGCCGCGGCTCAGGCACCCACACCTTGCCGTGCCTAGGCGGGCGCTGCCCGTGCCGGGGGGAGCGGGGTGATGCCGGGGGGAGCGGGGTGATGCCCTGCCCAGCCTGTCCTGCTGGCTCTGCCGCCGAGGTTCCCCTCCACTCCGGGACTTCGCAGAGGGCTCTGTGCTTGCGCCCAGCGCCCGGCCAGGGAAGCAAGACCACCTCAGGGTGGGCTCTCGCCCAGCCGCCCCAACATCAACCGCAGGCACCTGAGCCGGGCGGAACCGGTGCCTTGAGCCCGGTGCCGGGGGGTCCGCTCTTGAGGGCAGCGCAAAGGTGAAGGAGGGCTGAAAGGCTTTCGACCCCGTCCGAGCAGGCGCAATGGCCAGGCGGGTCGGGAAGCCCGAAGCGGGCACCTGAGCCGGATCCTTTGACACCTCAGCAGAGCGGCCCGATTTTCAGGGAGGCTGCGGGGGCGAAGGGGACGGGCGAACAGGGTCGTAGCATCTGATTTCTCTGTGAGGGACCACTCGGTGCTGCTTTTGTTGCGGGGAGAGGCGGGAGCAGTTACGCGTGCTAGTCTAAAGCGTGAATGTTGAAAGACTGGAACACTGCGGGTCCGGAGGAGCATTGTCAAGACAGGGGCTGTAACGCCCTTACAAACAGCTTCCCGCGGGTTTAGTTGAGCACTACGGGAGCGACTCGGTGCCCAGCTGCGAAGAGCTGCGTCGGCGGCTTGCCCCACCTTCGGACCGTGCACCCATCTCCAAAACTTAGGGGCTAAACAGCTCGGGCGCCTCGTCCCGCTGCTGTCAAGGACGTGGAGGCGTTCAGAGACGCCACGGGTGGTCCTTAAAGATCCACTGTCTCTGGGCAGCTTTGTACGGCTCCGCGGACGTTGCGGGATGCTCTCCACGCCCTGTCTCACCTGTCGGGGTCCAAGGGAGCAAGGTTCGGCACCCCGCACCCTTTACAGCGTAGCTGCCGGCCCCCGGGGGTGGGGCTGAGCCTCGCACGGCCGGGTTGGGCTTTGCCCTCCTGCCCGAGCCTCTCAGCCGCGCTTCGCCGCAGGTGCGGTTCGCGCTGCTCCCGGCCGGGCTCCGGTCCGGCACAGCCTGCGTGCCGGACCGGAGAAGAGGCGTCCTTGGCGGGGCAGCTCTCCCACCCAGGACGGCTTTCCCCAGCCTGTGTTTTCGGTCGGGACTCACTTGCCTGCACGGCGCCGGTCAGCCCTGCACCTTCGCCCTACAGGGCTCAGGGCTCAGTCCGGGGTCACTGAGGGAGCACGCGGTCCTCCTGACCGGTCTCCTCCCCCAGGAGCCCCGGAGGTTTGGATTTCCCCATGAGGACACCCAGTACTCTCCCTTTCCTCTGGGTCGCGGGCGGTGCGCGCTCCTGCCGCTGCCGAGCGTGAGCTCGCCGCCCCCGAGCCCCCGGCAGCGCATCCTCTCCCGCCTGCCGCTCCGCCTGCCCCTCCTCGGCTGCGGGGGGGTGTTGCGAGGTAGGCAAAAGGGAAAGTGAACGTAGCGGTCTGAAGATAGAGAAAGGCAGTCAACCTTAGATGTGTAGTTACTCAGCCTTTATTATTTTAAAAAATTCATAAAAAAAAGGAAGGTGAACGAACGTCTTACAAAACCCCCCCACATAAATAGGACATTCCGTCCAGCTCTGGCTATTGGCAGTTCTAGTATTTGACAACATCAGACGCGATTTCCTGGCATTAGAGAAACCCATTTCAAAATCGGTCATCACAAAGAAATACTAGAAATCCCAGTTAGCACTTGCTAGGCAGCACGGAGCACTTGTACACAACTTTTCAGACACACACCCGCGCACACACGCAGCAGGGAACAGATCCCATAGGAAGAGAGCCTCCTTAAAAAATAGTAAACGCTAAAAAAAAAAAAAAAAAAAAAAAAAAAAAAAAAAAAAAAAAAAGAAAAAGGAAAAAAAAGAGAGTTATTTACAAAACGCACATGGAAATACAGTATTGACAGAGCGTGGCTGGCAAATCAACATGATTTGAATAGAGAAAGGACTATGGCACGTCTTGCTCGAAAGCTCGCACAGCAGCCTCCTTCGAGTGTCCCCGCGGGAAGACAGCTCCTGCCATCCGCGACGCAGTGCCTTCTCCCTCCCCACCTCTCCTCCCGCCCTCCCTTGCCTCTCCACCCCTGCGCTTCTTGCCAGGTCCTTTTTACACTTGGATGACCACCGTGCTGGGGCTCTGGAGCCGGGTTTTGTACTGGTCTAGCCAGCTCCTCAGCTCCGAGATCTTGTAGCCCTCTGGTCCTCTGCCTCCCTGGTACATCACCTTCTCCTCCTGAATGATGTAGAGCCTCTCGAAGTAGGCACCGTAGGCGGCGCTGGAAGCATTGTCCATGGTGTCCACGGCCAGGGGGCAATCGGGCGCCCCTTCCCTCATCAGCTGAGCTGCCCGCAGCCTGTCCTGGAGGCACTGGTGCTTGGGGATGTTGTAGGCTGCATCCGAGCTGACCCAGCCGTCGGACGGGTGTGCTTCTTCAATGTACACCAGCAGGAAGTCGGCAATGTCCACGAAGTGCGCGGCCAGGCGCTGGAAGGACCTCAGGCGGGCCATGAATGGGGGTCAGGTGCAGCTGCCGAAGTTGAGGATGAGGGGTCTCTTGCCGCGGGCGAAGTCCAGGATGCGGAGCCTCTTCTGCCCGTCCAGCTGGATCACCTCGGGGTTAGGGGCCAAGGAACCCACGTGCGCCGACTTGAAGAAGTCCAGCTTCTGCCCGTGCCACACGGCTTTCAGCGACTCCAGGGTGAACATGCGGTTGGAGTCGGACACGCAGACCGGGGGGTCGTCGGGGGGCGGCTCCTCGCTGGCGCTGGCCGCCTCCTCCGCCGTGGGCATCGTCAGCATCTTCTTCCTAATGCACAGAAAATCCAGGAGCCAGAGCATCACGGCGGTGAGCAGGAAGCGGGGAAATAGGAGGATGCAGGCGGCCGCCTGGGTGAGCAGCTGCAAGGTGTGAACGCCGACGGAGTGGAGCATCGCAGCGGCTTGTGCAGCAGGGCGCTGGCTGCCGGGGGGCCCCCACGCACCCTGCGTGCCGGGGTCTGTGCAGCACAGCTGAGATCCCGCTTCTCTTTAAGCCCATTTTATAGTCAGGGATTTAAATGAAAAGTGACTCCACCTCCGTCCAGAACCCGCCCCTCTGGAACTTGAGCCTGGGGATTACCTACCCCTCCACTCTAATGACCTAAAAATACACAGACAAAAGGGGAGAGAGCCCCGGCAGGAGCCGCAAGGGACGTGCAACGGAGCAGGGTGCAGCCGCTATCAGGCGGGGCAGAGAGTCCGACACAGGGCACCGCCGGGGTCCCCGGCCTCAGATAGCGGTGGGCGCTCACAGACAGCCCCGCCAAGGACAATGCAACAGGCACAGCCGACCCCGGCCCGGCTCCCTACGGGCAGTGTGGGCACGGGCCGGGGCGGGAGCGGGGGCCGGGGCCGTCCCGGCAGCGCCTGCAGGTGACAGGGACAGGCCGCCATCGCCGCGTCCCTTCCCGCGCCTTCCTCCCCTCCCCGCTCCGGCAGTCCGGTCGCCCCCTGTGCACAGCCTCCGCCCCACCGCACGCCCCGGCGCCGCGGGAGCACCCGGGTCTCGAACCCGCCGCCCCATCCTCCGGCAGCGGCGGCGGCGGGACGGACGGCGGGCGCTGCCCCGGTCCCCCTTTTGCCCCGGGGCCCGGCCCCGCCACCTGCCCCGGCCCCGCCACCTGCCCCGGCCCCGCCACCTGCCCCTCGCGGACACGGGGCGGCATCGCGGCCGCTGCGGGGCCGGTGCTGCGGGAAGCGCTACAATGGGTGGGCAGAGGGGACGGCGGAGGCGACAGGAGGAGAGCGCTGCTTCTGCGATGTCCCGCTGCTCACTGGGGTCCTGCTGCATCCTCGAGAGCAGCGAGTCAGCGCAGACACTCCTTGACGGCGTCCCAGGAGGAGCCAGCAGTACTTTTCTGCACCTGTCAAGTGGCATACAAACACGAGCTTCTGACGGGACTAGGTCTGGCAAAATCCTTAAACTGAGGGTTGAAGTGTCACCTCACGGGCACGGCCAGGTAGAGCTGTGTGCTGTCCACAGAGCGGATACCGAGTCGTTGTGGGCTGGGTGGGTTGTGTATCAGTAGCAAAGTGCTCACTATGCAGGGCTGAACACTGACTGGCCGCCTTCAGTCTTCACCCATCAGAGGGAATTTATGGCCGGCAGATTCCTTCCTGCTGAACTAGATGGAGACCTGTCCCAGAAGTACGGAGCTTAAATGTAGTTTGGTGTCTCTACTCAGAACTTTGCCACTCAATTGTTGCAGGGTTACCAGCTTGCAGCATGCACTTCATTTTCCCAGCAGCTTCCTTAGAAAGGGACATGTCCAAAACGCTGAACACTGCCCTCTGCTATGCAAATGTGGCTCATGCAACCCTGAGCCATTGCTGCAGCTGCCACTCACCCAGGTGCTGTCACACGGACTTTGGGACATGCAACCCAGTGTGCCTGTGGGTCCTGAGTGCCCTGTTTCTGCCTGTGGCCAATGCCAGGCCTCTGGCTGCAGATTCCCAAAGACCCCGAGGACCTGCAATTCCCCCAGATGCAGTTGGTGCTCCAAAAGTGACTGTGCGTGTCTGTACCTCCCATCTATCTTCTGCGAAATGGAAAAATGAATGCTGAGCCTCCTCATGGGAGGCTAGGCAGCTTGCTTAATTTTTATGTAACTTATTACAAGAGCCCTAAATAAAAGGCAAAATTAAAATCCCATTTTATTTTTTTCTTTATCTGGTTCTGAATAGGCTGGTTTAGAGCATCTAATCAGATGGCTGGTTTGTAGTGCCCTGGTGCTTCGTCTTTAGTTGGAGTCAGCAACAAGGTTATTCAGCATTTTAACATCTGAGGGGAAACGTATGCTCCAGCCCTCATAAAGCCACGTTCATCCACTAGCCTGATTAATAACTTCTTTGGCATTCCACGGTGCTCAGTCCAGGGAAAATTACTGAGTAGATATTTACTATATTGTCAAACTTATTTTGAACTATTCATGTGGGCCTCTCACCACCTCTCTGTGCAGTTATGCAATCTTGAAAACCACAAATTAAAGCCTCTAAAGAGACGCAATAACAAATTGTGGTAGCTCTGAAGAAACCCCCAGGAAAAAAAATTGATCTCTCAAAGTGACCTCTTCAAACTATGCTGACAGACAAAAGCCTGAGTAAACAGATGGGTTTGCAACCCTGAATATCAACAAACTTTGCTCTACTAGATCAGTGAGAGATATTCCGAGGTAAAAATGCTATCTGGTCTTATATTCTCTATTTGCAGCTGGATAGGGACTTTGGAAATGACTATTTCTCCATTCCCTGTAAACAGCTTTGCTTTGTTTTTATAACTTGAAGGAAAACTTTGAGTTGGGGTTTCCTATTCAGCTATTCAGAGCAGAGAACTGAAGCATTTTGCTTCACTAGCCCAGTGCTACACTTTCCTGCCACAGGAAAATTCAAGCATGTCCTGAGGCCACTGTTTCCTGGTGAAATGAAGGGTGGCTCTGCATGGCCCTACAAGCCCTGCTCTGACAGGCTCAGCCGAGGTGCAATGCCCATGTATGAACTCCGTGGGAAAGGGTGGAATTCCTTCTGCAGCCCCCTTTGGTCCTTGGAAGGCTTGAAGTGACGTCTTGCTGCTGTTCTCACGTCTGTGTTAAGCTGGATGGTTCTCAAAATCCTGTGTTTTAGCTCTGTTAAACCCCCTTTCTACTTCCCAAAGGCTGTACCTCCCAGTTGGAACTTGGGTTATTTTTAGGTGTGTGAAGGTAGTCAGTCTTTCTAGGAATCCATATCACTGATATTAATAGTGTGGGAACTTATGTCTTCCTGTATACTGAGGATTTCATAGAATATATCCTAAAATATGGGTTTTACAGTGGCACATCTGGTTATGGGTGGTTTCTACTCTTCTGCATGTGGTCTGTGGTTCAGCAGTCACTAACTTAAAAATACATAAGTTTGTGTGTGTGTGTCCTCGCACAAGTGCACATACATGGTTCACATTATTTCCTTTTTTCTGAGAACTTTATAGCTGTAGTTTTTCTTCATTTGATAAATGTAATTTATAACTCTTTTAAAGCTCTTTTCATAAACAGGAGCTACAAAATAAATTCAGCAACTTATAAAAGCAAAACCTCAAAAAGCTGAAATTAAAACCATCAGGTCTGCTTTGATGTAGAGGATGTGTTGAAATGGTATATTTACATGTTTATTTTCTATTTTATAATTTCCTGCACAAAGGCACGCAATACTTTCTGACAGGAACTGAAATATATTTTGGAAGAGTTCCACTTCTCATGTCATCTAAGCTCCATGTCATTAATGTGGTAGAACTCTATGTGAAGGAAATGAAAAAGACTTTCCTGAAATAAGAGCTGGACAATTTCTACTCATCTAAGTGGCTACCCGGTGACTGAAGAGAGGTGCAGTGGTACAGTGGTAAATTACTCACCTGTTTGGTATCTGTAAGAAGTGGGTGAATGTTATATTGCTGAAATTGGTGGTGGATAATCTCCATTTGCAGTTGTTTGCTTGTAGCAACACCTCTGGAAAAGTTACCATACGCTGGAGACTGTGCATGGGTCTGGCTGTCTCTGGAACTGCTTCTCACCTAATCTTTCACCACTTTTAGATGACACCTGTTCTTATTTTCCTCCCTTCTGTCTTATTTTTTTTTTAAATAAAATTTATATGACTCAGAAAAAAACCACACAAATCCAAGCACCTAGGCAATGCCTCCAGTAGGTTTGAGCATGGAAAGAAAAAAAGTGCTGTGCTGCAGATTTGTCTATAAAATCACTAGCAGAGCCATGGCCTTGAATCTCCTACCCACCCTGTCACTCTTACCTTCAAATACATGCCAAGCGTGTCATATATGACAAAGAGGTTCCCTGCATTGAAACTTTCAAAATTTTTTCCCCTCACTTTTTGCTGACTCTGGGTTGAACTGGGAAAGTGTTGTTTAGCTTGGGAGAACTAATTCTACAGCCAAAGGTCTGTAAGTGCAATGTTCACCCTGAGTAAGTGGAAACCAACATTTTCTTGAGCCTGTAAGCCACCTACCAATGCTTTGCCATGTGACCAAGTGTACAGTTCTCCTGATGTGTTAGTGGGTTTCTGCACCTGCCTCTCCATGGCTGCTCCCTAGTGCCCCTGTTGTGCCAGCAGCCTGTCAGGCTGGGATAGAAACTAGATAACAGGTCCTGGATTAAAGAATTCTGGTGTTAAACCCAGATGGTTTTGGTGAGTGGATTCACTTTAGAATGCCTAAAATAGTATCTAATGGCATAACTTTCAGTGCAACTTGAACGACAAAAGTGCAACTTTCCATCCCATTAATCCTTTCTCACTTCTGCTTGCACTGTGTCTTGTGTGATCCTGAAATGATCTGCAGTGTCATGCTTTGGGGACTAAGGAGGCAGAAGAGCTTGGCTTTAGAAAAAAATAATTATTTCCTGACAGTTTAGTTCCCTAAACTTGTTTATGATGAAAGGAAATGATCATCTGTGGTACGGAGGAAGCACAAGCGGAATGGCCACAGCTTGTGGCCAAAGCAGGGCTAACAGGACCATCCCATCAGACTGACTTAAGCAATATTATCCATCCACCCCTGGATGGAATTGCACAGGGAGAACGTGTTAAGAGCAGAAACGAGTTTCACTGCAGATGCGGATAGTCTCCCTTTTGTGTAGTGGAAGAGCATAGGAAATGTACAGGAGGTGACAGTGGCTGTCACAAGGTCCTGCTGAGCAATGTAGCTGAGTAGGGTGCACAGATGGCTTCTGGGGGGAGCCAGCAATGTCAACTTCAACAGCAGCTGCAAACACACCTCCATCGGTGGGAAATCAGATTATCCAGAACCCCCTGTGCCAAGCACATCCCTGCTACTCATCAAGCAAACTGCTCAAAAGCTTCTGTGGCTCAAGAGCTCAGGCTGGACCCCCTGGTAATACAGTACAATTACAACCATCTGAATGGTTTGCTCTGCAGCAAAGACAACAGCCTAGTCCAGAAGTGGAACCCCGTGGAGTTATACTTAAGCAGCGACTTTATACACAGTGAATACAGATGAAGTCCTTGTCAGAAACCAGAAAATACTTCTGCCAATGTCTTTGTTTTAGGTGTGCTGTAGGTGAGAATAAGGAGATACAAT